AATTTTAATTTTATCTTTTAAACCGAAGTCTGACTGAATTAATCTACTTAATACATAAATAAATTCAATACAAAATATATATATATATATCCTCATTTTGCTGATTGTGCTTTAACTTTAGCTCGACTTTTATTTGCATGTTTTTATTGCAAATTTTCCCGAGCCACCTCTTAACTTTTCCACCTTTATCAGCAGCTGAATATGAATATGTGACTATGTGATTGGAAACGGGGAATGTATTTGTTCACCTCACTCTCTCTACAACTGCATCTCTCTCCCTTAAGCTCGCTCGCTCTCGAGTCAGCTGCACCTCTGTGTCTCATGCATTTTCACGTATTCAATGCACATTCATTCAATCAAACATGCATTTGGCTCAGCTGCTCATTCATTCATACCTTCATTTCGCGTACCGACAGATTTTTTGTCTTCCTGCTGCCTTTTTAATACACTTACATAAGGGGTATTATGGGTTTCTGAAGTAGATGCAGATGCAGATGCAGATGCAGATGCAGATGCAGATACAGATAGAGATACAGATGCAGATACAGATTCAGATACAGATACAGATTCAGATACAGATACACATACAGATACAGATACAGATACAGATACAGATACAGATACAGATACAGATACAGATACAGATACAGATACAGATACAGATACAGATACAGATACAGATACCAGTGGAAGCAATCTAAATTCATAACGATCCTTTATCTCTATGGAAGCGCATTTAAACTTCCACATGCCACTGAGAACCCTTCCATTACTATTTTCGTTTTTCTCTTCTCTTTCTTTTTTGCCAATCGGCATTGCCTTTGTGCAAATTTTGCGTTACATGCGACAGCTTCAAGCGATTGCTCCATTTTCGCTTTGGTTGTGCCAGCTGGCCCCACCAGCTCCCGCTTATTCATAACTATGGGGCAAATACTATTTGGGACATTTAAGTCGCATCGTTCTCAATGCAACTTTAAAATGTTGGCAGTGGGTGATTTATCGAGGGACCAAAAAAAAAAGGGAACTGAAAAAAGGAAACAAATCGAAATTCATTGAATTTCACGTGGCTCAACGATTTACATAAATTTTTTATTTCATTTGCTCAATGGGCGTTAGATAGAACGAAAGAGAGATAGAAGGGACAAATAGAACGAGAGTGAGCGCTAACATTTCAGTAATATGGTACCCAATATTAAAATACATTTGCGGCTATCCAATTGTCCTCATTTTGTAGCTAATCAATTGCCTTTTGGGGATTTTAGTTTTGCCAATTTTACTGTGCGTGTGCGTGTGTGTAGGTGTTTGGGTGTGTGGTCCTGTGTGTGACGTGAAATAAAATATTCATAATATTGCATATTGATTTTATAATGGAATCTTTAGAGTTTATTGAACTTTTATGCAGCTTTTGACACGCTTCATATTGGATTTGGGATTAGCATTAGCTATGTATATATAATTCTATGTATAAACAGAACAATTTATTGTGTTTGATAGCAATAAAAGCAACGCAAACGCGCTCTGTGTCCGAAATTGGGTTAATTGTGATATATAAATAAAATCAAAATATGCTAATTGCTAGCCATAGTAATTGACTTTTATGGGTCTTTTTTTCGACTAAAGGGCTAGAAAATTTGATTATATTTGTAAAGCAATAGTAATATATTTTATAGAGCTTGAATATATATTAAGCCTAAGAAGATTTTATCTGTAATATATAGTAATAAATGTGGCCTA